CAATCCTCTGCAGGAAAAGCGTGGCCTTTATCAGGAGTGGTGCTGGGGGCCGTGGGAGGAGCAGGTGCTACAGCCCTGCTCTTCCTGTCCTTCTGCGTCATCGTCATCATGTGAGCAGGGACCTGGGGAGGGAGGGAGAGCCCTGGGGTGGGAAGGGCAGGCAGCCACGGATCCCTGAAGCCAAAGCTGGGGGACTGGGTGGGTCCAGAGCCTGAAGCAAGGGCAGGAAGGAGGTCCCGGCACCCTGGTGAGACTGTCACAAACCCCGGGCCCCACTGTCCAGGAGGGGGAGCCTGTTCTCAACCCTGGGGTGTCTGGGACAGGACCACCCCTCTCCCACCTCAGTCACCCCTCCAGCCCCTAAGAGAGAACAGAGGAGGGGATCAGTCTGCCCACTGCACCCTGAGCTGGAACGACTGAAAGGCTCTCTGGTCTCTTCACTCAGAGTCAGGTCCCACAGGAAGAAAGTGGCCAGGCCAGCAGAGGATGTGGGTGACGCGGGCACGGAGGGTGCAAACGCTGTCATGGGGTCAGTCTCTCAGGTGAGTTACTTGGACTTCTCTCCATCCAACATTGTGCCTGGACACCTCTCCCAGGGTGACTCCCTGGATTATCCTGCTCAGTATGGCCAAAGTTCCTCTCCTCATCTCCTCCTCCTCATCCCTTCAAGTCGGATCCTCATCCTGCTGACAACATGACAGCCCCTCCTCTTCCCTTCAGGTCAGGAATGGAGGAGTCACCTTCTCCCTATCCTCCCTTTCTTCTGCTACAGCCCAAATTCACCACATCTTGTCCATTTTTCCTCCTAAGAACAGCTAGCATCAGTCTCCGTCTTGACCCCCGTCATTGCTCAGGCTTCAGGACCTCTTTCCTGGACGCCTCATCTCCCTGCCCCTCATCTCCCTTGCCCTACACAGAGTGATCATCTAAAAGCCATCATTGTCCAGTTCTTCTGCATTTAGACTTCTGTTTGCCCCCATCATCTACAGTAGAGGCCAGCAAAGTATTTCTATCAAGGGCCAGAGAGTAAATATTTTTGGCTTTTTGGGCCGTAGAGTCTCCGTTGCAGCCACTTAACTCGGCTTTTGCAGCATGAATGCAGCCTTAGACCATAAGTAAATGAATGAGCATGACTGTGATCCCA